CCAATCAAAACTGGCCACGTAGGGCTAATTAATATTTCTTTCTTTTAGTCATCATCATCATACTATATAAGTGGTGGTTCCCTTGGACTACCAAGGGTATTCCCGTCATTTTCTTCCTTAAAAGAGCTCCTCAAATACTACCAAACCAATCAAAAATGGCCACGTAGGGCTAATTAATATTTCTTTCTTTTAGCACTTTTTTTTTTCTCTCAAATACTACCAAACCAATAAAAAATGGCCACATAGGGCAAATTAATATTTCTTTCTTTTAGCACTTTTTTTTTTCTCTCAAATACTACCAAACCAATAAAAAATGGCCACATAGGGCAAATTAATATTTCTTTCTTTTAGCACTTTTTTTTTTCTCTCAAATACTACCAAACCAATAAAAAATGGCCACATAGGGCAAATTAATATTTCTTTCTTTTAGCACTTTTTTTTGCTTCTTCACACGTGTTATTGTGGCAGACTGCATGTCATCATCATCATCATACCTCATCATCATCATACTTTATACTTCTCCGGGCTAACCCATCGCTGGCCCCCTAAACTTGGCATCAACTTTCACTTAGACACCTCAATTAGGCGATGTTCATTTTAGACACCTTATGTAGAGTTTCGTTATGTTATTTTGACACTTTTCGCTGACTCAACATAGCATGTGTGTTACACGAATTTTATGCGCGTGCAACACTCTTTTTTTCTTGAAAAATATTTTTGCTCTCTTCTTCTTCCTCACTCTTCTCTTCCTGTAACTTCTCTACCTTCCATCACCCAACATCACCATACAACTTTTTGAAAAAATTCTGCAAAACTTTGTTGGGTTATATTAGAATCCAATTTCTTCAACAAAAGAGTCAATTTCTTTAGCAACCTCATCAGAAAAAATGAAGATCATCAGCATTCTCTAAGAATTTGCAACTCTTTTTCTTTTTAAAATCAAATCACATAAAGTTTAAGCTCTTCTACATTAATGTTGTCTGCTACTATAACTAAAAAACTCCCGCCCCCAATAATAATGAGAAGTTCTCTTATTTTCAGTGTCTGAAACAACGAAAATTGGAGGAACAAGCTATTACATCGTCTGCATCTTCACCATTTAAATAACTAAATCCCCAACATTTTTCCATAGCATTCCTAACTAAATCCCATAACATTTCTCCATAGCATTCATAACTAAATCCCCAATTTTTGCCTCCGTCTGCATCTTCACCATTTATATAATATTGTTATTTTTGTTTCAAGATGCAGTTTTGATTTTAAAAAAAAGAAGAGGAATCAAGGAATGGATTTTAATGGATTTGAAGAAGAACAAAGAGAAAGAACAAAAACACATCAAGAAGAAGCAGAAGATGTGGGGGGGTGAGGACTAGGGTTAGATGTTTTGAAGAAAAAAAAAGAAAGTAAAAGTGAGTTTTTTAAAAATAAAATAAAATTCCACATGTCACATGTTCATTCATTTATTTATCCACGTAGGAGGCGTTTGGATACACACACTTGAGCTAGTTCTAAGAATATAAAAAAAGTGTCAAAATGACACATTGAAACCCTACATGAAGTGCCTAAAATGAACATCATTTAGTTGAAGTGTCTAAGTGAAAATTGCTGCCAAATTTAGGGGGCCACCGATGGGTTTGGCCTACTTCTCCTCTCATACTATATAAGTGGTGGTTCTCTTGGACTACCAAGGGTATTCCCGTCATTTCATCATCATCATACTATATAAGTGGTGGTTCCCTTGGACTACCAAGGGTATCCCCGTCATTTTCTTCCTTAAAAGAGCTCCTCAAATACTAGCAAACCAATCAAAAATGGCCACGTAGGGCTAATTAATATTTTTTTCTCTTAGCACTTTTTTTTTGCTCTCAAATACTACCAAACCAATCAAAAATGACGACGTAGGGTTTCCCTTGGACTACAAAGGGTATTCCCGTCATTTCCTTCCTTAAAAGAGCTCATCTAATTAATATTTTTTTCTCTTAGCACTTTTTTTTTGCTCTCAAATACTACCAAACCAATCAAAAATGGCCACGTAGGGCTAATTAATATTTTTTTCTTTTAGCACTTTTTTTTTCACGTCTTTCTTTACAACTATTTTTATCCCCACAATATGCCCGTGCCTTGCACGGGCACCCTTATCTAGTATATATTAGAAGAGTGGGTATAATTTGAGGTGTCTGCTTCACTGCTTGTGATCTTTCTTTTTTATTAGCTGAGGGTATTGTGGTAAATTCAACCTGTTGTCCACCTTCTGCTTACTCCACGTGGTTGTGTGTCCTTGGGTTTATTGTGCGTGACTCCATGTCTGCTTTCCACGAATCTTCATCTATTGAAAAGGAAAAAGGCAGAGCTATTTCTCTTCAATCTTTTCAAGTACTCTTCAATTTCAAGGTAATTTTTTCTTCTTTCCCTGCCTTCCTCTTCATTTTTTTAGATCTGATTTCTTGTGATAAGTGGTTCTCTTCAGAGCTTCATCGCATTTGGCTGAACCGATTTATAAATCTTTGGTTTTTAGATTTAGTTTTATGGGGTGATGAAGTTTGAATTTGAGAAGACGCAATAAAAAATAAAACGAACTAAACTTCAATGTTGAGACACAACCCCCAACTAATTAGAGTTCTGCCAGTTAAGTGTTTTCCTAAAAATAATAAATATGTAGATTGTTAAGTAGAAATTGTCATCAGTTACCAAAGCGGTGGTCCACATAGTAACCTTTGTATTTAACGATATCTATTCAAAGACTAATATTAGGATTAAATTAGAATACATTTTGTTAAGCCACCACAACTTGGCTATTTATATATGTAAATTGTAAAGGGAAGGAAAAGACACATTTTGCTTTTGATTAGCCATAGTTTTTGAGGAGGTTGTATGAACATATAGGGAAAAGAATTACCGTTGTGCCTTTTAGGCAAGCTTCGTGTGATGAGTTTTGTACCTGAAACTTCGCAGGTAAAAGATTAGCAATTCAACTAATTCCATAAGCATTTAGAATAACTTCATTGGAAGATTTGATAGTATAGATCATTTACAATTAGCTAATATAGTGATATAACAAGAAATTAATAACAAAAGAGATTTGTAAATAAGATATGAACTACCCCTGAGTTATGGGGAAATTCGGATGCTAAGCTTGCCCTGTCTATCGTATCGTCGGGATGGTACCTCGTTTCCTTATTCATCGTCAACCATTGCTTGATGTCTGCCTCTGCAATCAAGCGTTCCGCTGCAACCCACACACACAAGTATGTGATAAACATGTGCATCGAGGTTGGAGCATATAGGCTCACACTTGGTGTCCTTCAGAAAAATTTGTATTCCTGCAGTCCAATGTTGTTAGTGTCATTTTCCTATATGTACCACATATATTGCTTCATTATTGATGCTCTTCTTATTTTAACGTAATTCCAATGAGAAGTAGTATTTGTTTTGCTTAAAGAGGCTGAAGTGTCCATTCCTTCCATGATCAAGTGATTTTAAGTACTACCAGGCATCCTCCCACTTTCATCCATCTTTATTACGTTATGTTTCCATCACAATCAAAATGCATCAGTATAATCCTTGCACTAACAAAAATCTATTTGAATCTATCTAATTCTCAGCTCATCGATCAGTTTAATGCATATGCACCTATAAAAGGAATAAGTGTGTTTTATGTTCGTATAGTTTGATTGTTATATTAATTCCTCCTGTTCACATAAAAGACATTTTTGTTACACTCGAAAATTATGACTTACCTGGCTAAAATTTTGGATTCATATCGATGGGCACTTGATTGAGTAATTTCCAAGTTTGTTTTTTCTTCTACAAAATTCTTAGTGGCTAAATAGATGGTTCATCTGTATATGTATGATGCCACCTAATGACAATGTTGGACTACACTCCTCTCTTTTCTAAAAGAGAGTAGATTGTACATGTTAAGATCTGTTATATTTATTTAATTCCACTCTTAGTTGTGATGACATTTTCTCTGTGTAGCGTACCAAAAATGAAGAGGCATAACACTTGAAGAGGCCCTACTACTAAAGTAATTCCACATGACAAGTTTCCGTTTCATTGTTAGAATGAATTTTTTTCCAGTTTAGAGAATATTAGTTTATTCATAGATGTATACGTGGTTATAGTGTCATTGTGTTATTTGGCAACTCTTCCCCTCTATGTGGGGAAAACTCAAATAACCATATTGGTTCCTTCAGAGATGTATAGTTATTAATTAATAACATTCAAGTAGCATGAGGTGGTTATAGTGTCACAATTATGTTATTGGCAAAATTGATGTATTTAAGCTATCATACATTTTTTAAGGAATTGTATCTTAGTCATGACATAATTAATCATGTTTGCTGAAAATATGTTGAAATCTTTTTGCTTGAGATTTCAGTCTCAATGTATGATTAGTTAACATTAGTTGAAGGAAAAGTTTCTTCGTTCAAAAGTAACTGCCATTCTAAATAAGGACTGTGTTGCATAGCTCGGAGGATATCAGTACGATCCTCTATTACTTGTCAACACATGCTTATTTGATATGTTTTAGTAATAAACACATCTTATCTGGAATCAACTTTCCCCTTTAAAAGCCAATCTTATCACTTGGAAAGTGAAATTGCACTCTCTACTTAGTTTAGTGACATAATTTATGCAAATAATACTCAACGCAACAGCCAAAAATCATTTGGAAACACGCTTGTCACAGAAGTATATTATCTAGTCTAGTTACAAGAGTAAGCAGACGAGAACTCCAATCCTATATGGTGATCATTTGTAAAAACCTTGAAATCAATTTATTATTACTAATAATAACCAAGTAAAAACAAACTAAAAATATACTAATATATACCGACTACTCGTTTTTTTTCTTCTTCTGCTGCAGCTTGCTCTTCATTTTCTTCACCCTCTCCGCAATGGTGCGGTAATACATGTGACATCTCTCCATCACCGCGCTGTTATATATGTGGCATCGGACCCTTACTCGCTGCCCCAAGTCCTTAATCTTGTCTTCATATTTCACATATACAACTGGTACAGTCAACCCCACCACAATCCCTGCATTACCAGATATACTCCTTAAACCCACACACTTATATAGTACTAAAACATAAGTACGTAGGTAAATTAGTAGACTGATTATTACTACTTAATCATCATATAAGTAGTGTAGTAATTACCAATGTAGAGAAGCGTAAGTAAATCTAAGTAACTTGCCACAACCGAAAGCAATCCCAAAGAAGCTAGAGTCCCCGCAAAGACGAACCACTCTCTCTTGGTACTCACGCTAAACAGAAACCTCAAGCTATTCTCAACCGATTCACGAAATTTGGTGCCTGCGTCCACAACTGATTCATCGCTTATGTACATCCTTGACATGTCTAGGGGATCTCTGCAAAAATGTATCACCACATTATTAGCTGATTCTCATGCTCATATATATATAAGAGGCGAAAACACTCTTCTCTATTGGTATCATTCAAATGCAAAGATAGGCCTGATTGAAATAAAAATAATGACACTCTTTAGGAATATCAACATAGCGCTAAGAGCCTAATGCGTTAGTTTCACAATGACCGATAATACTGAAATAGAGCAGTACTATTTTTGATTTTTTGTCACTTCATCACTTTATAATAACTGCACTTCACCCCTGAACAATTGTCACAAAATCAATTTCATCCCAGTAACAGAATTTTCCCATACAGACAAAATGATCTATACCCATTAGCTAATCGAGGCAAAGTTACGTTAGTTCAATAATTTTAATATGGTAAAAAACAATTTTTTGACTTTACTTATGTTTTACCTATGTGTTTAGAGTGGGTGAGGCTTAGTCATTTTATTGTTACCAAAGAGTAGTAGTATTGCAGTTTTTATTTATTTATCATAGCGAAAAAAGTTTAACTTACTACTAAATCCCACATAACATAAAGCATTTATGTTAAAAAGAGAAAATAAAGAAATCTTAGCTGCTTAAGCGGTAGCTTACTTTCCCAAGAGCATATGTATGTTACCCCATAAAAAGGTGAAAGCGATCACGAACATGGCGATCCATGAAAACAGCGTTATAAAGGTTAATCCATAGACTTCAAGTCCCAGCCATATCGCTGTAGCTGCTAATAGTGCAACAACACTATAACTCTTCCTCTTCCATAAAATTACATCTCTGATTATATCTGAAAATATATATAACATTCATCTTAATTAGCGACTTCCGAGGTGAGAAAAAAAAAGAAAAGGGTGAAGGCCAGAGGGCTAGGTAGGCTTTAGCATATGTTTTTGGCCCAAAACATAAATATGTTGCGCGACAAATTCATTAATTATATACAAAAATTAAATTCAGAGCCAAATTACTAATTAACCAAGAATATGATGCAGAAATTGTAGTTAATATAATTCCTGGATTCTCAAATATTATATAAATTAAAATGCTAGTGTTATCATTTTCAACATGTAAGACACTGGAATAAAGCTTTAACAAAAAGAGATTTAGTTGAAATCAGATTAAAATAACCTGAAATTACACAGGAAATATGAAGTGATGGAATATATATAAACCTGTACTAGTTTTGCCAACATCAGGTGTTGGAGAGGCTGTTGAAGTCTGCAGGTTGGACTCTGCAAAGAAACAAAAAAATTACGTAGTACTGTATTAGAGAAAAAGGCACAATTCAAGCGATCGAATTATATTAACCTGAATGGTTTTCAAGTTGAGGAGTTGGTGAAGGTGGGGGAGAATCTGTTGAAGTAGTAGTACTGATCTGCATATTGAAGGCTGGAATTGTTAAGAGAAATTGGACAAATGTGAAGGTCAATTTTTAAAGAGTCAGGCATTCCAGATAAACACATAACAACAGATGTGAAGGAAACGTGGAGGGCATGCAGGGATTGTGGCTGCTTCTAAGTAAAAAACCATTATATTATATGTCGTAAGAATGGCCTCGCTAGCTATATTGAGGAAATGTTATCGAGAAAAAAAAACCAAAATAACTGAAAAATGGATACTACCTTTAGTCCATATATATTAACTGAAATGTTCTTAAATATTTTTCTTAAGAATGTGTCATAATTTACGCTTAATATGAATGAAGGGAGTAATTTTTAGTGTGGAGTTAAAATGACATGTTTGAATACATTCAATTACAAACTTTAAAACTGGCTATTCGTGAACTTTCCCCATATAGGATATTTTGGGCCTGATAAAAGGCCCAGTCCGTAGCACAAATGGTTTTCCAACTCCTAGAGGTCTGTACACATCCCAAAGCTGCGTCAAGACTCGAGATGTTCTGAAAGTATAATTACGTGTGTTTGCTAGAGTTTTTTGGAATAATATTCTTAACAAAAACAGCTAAGAGTTCTTTTTTAAAGTCCGCTGATATTCTTTTCGTTCCATATTAGTTGATCATTTGCTTATATCAAGAAATCATAAATAAAAAGATAATTTTACTAATTTATCCCTTAAAAAGCTTCTTGGAAATTTTACAAACAAATGTGGGCATTTTCAAAAACAAAAAATAAAAATTGCAAGGGTAATATAGAAAAAATTTATTAATGCTTTCTTGATTTAGTAAAGTAGACAACTAATATAAAACAACTATTTTTAGTAAGATGATCAACTAATATGAGAGAAGAAAGTAGTAAAGAATGTGAAGGCAAAAGAATTTCTTGCATCCAAGTGGTACAATGCAAAATTCCACAAAACTCCAAGTGGAACTTTTTTTCCAAGTGGTACATTACAAAATTCCACAACCTCAAGTGGAAATCCAAGAAAACGTCGATGACTTTGTCAATAGTATGCCCACATGATGGCCCTTCCAATTGCAACTTAAAAAAAATATTGAGTATCCAACTTGCTTTGATCGTACTTATTAATTTTCTTTAATTTGTTCTCTGGGACTCAAAAAATAACAAGTAACTTTGATGTAAAGGAGCAATAAGATTGAAAAATATCATTTATTATCTCTCATTTGTACGCTAAATCTTTTATAATTTGATACTTTAATGCGTAAAGGAAATGAAGAGGTGTATTATATCCACATACATAATAATGAAGAATTACATCGATTTGTTGGTACATGAAATGAAAATTGACCTGACGTTAAAAAAGTTATTATAAATAAATTATAATAAAAATGTAAGGGGTAATATTATACATTATAGAAAATATCAATGTTATGAGATAAAATTTAAGAGGAGATCTCTGATTATTATCCCTTAAAACAAAATCAAAGAGAATAATCTTCAACTTAAAACATTATACTATAAGGAAAAGGAAAAGGAAAAGGCACGTCTTCCTTCCTTTTTACCGTGATTTTTTTGTTTTTTTTTCCTCCTTTGTTTTTTCTCCATTTTATTTGTTATATATTTGAATTTATGTCACCCTTATCAATTTTATTTTGTATTATATTTTTAAAAATATTTATATTAAGAATAAACTATGAGGAAAATATTAAAAATAATAATAATTTATTTTTTAAAATAATGAACAAGTGCTTACTCTAATTTCTCTCTTTCCACTTTATTTTTCTACCTCTCCTTGCCCTTTTTATTTTAAATTATTTTTTCGAAAAAGGTATTTGGGGTGCCCCCTAAATTGGAAGCATGGCGGTGGGAAAAACCTTTTCCGTGTGGCACCCAACTCCTATACAAATCACATGGCTCCCCATCATTCACTACCAAATAATCCTTTTCCAAATTAACTATCCAATTAGGAATAATATTATACTAATTAATCATGATTTTTTTGCTAACCACCATAGTTAATTAATTTCTTTATCTAATTCCTTGTTATAAAAGATTCTATGAACTCGATAGCTGTTTATTATTGTAAATGATTGTCATTTGCCAGTAATGATGTTGAGTTAAAAGCTAAGCATTAAGATCAGTGATTGAAGCTCTAAATTAATACCACGCCACATAAACTTCTCCATTTATATAATGTCTTTGACTTTAATTTCTGTCTATTATAATGCTGAAAAATGCAACTGTTGTTTTATGATATGTGATGATTATACAAGAGAGGAAAGATGTTAAAAGAACTAATTATAGTAAAACAATCTATATAGAAGTTCTTGTTAATTGATTACACCAACATTTGTTAATTACCGAGCATAATTCAATTTTCTATTTGTCATATGATCATTTATTCTATCAACAAATGAGAACTTCAAATTCATATTGTTATATTTCTCGTGAGAGCGAGAAAATAAGTCACTAGCCCATGAAATTATAATCTACCTAATTCATCCAAGAGTGGCTGATTACTAACTTGCTAGCTTATTTATTAACTTGGCTCATTTCAATC